TGTAAACCACCAAACAGCAAACCTCTTCTCTCAGCTGCCAGGTGACTGCGGCAGCTTTATCACCTGCAGCCAAGTGCTAATCTCGCCTTCCAGATACCAAAACCAAGCCCACTGCCATGGAGTCCATGTCGACCCATCGCGACCCTACAGGACAGGATAGAACTGCCCTTGTGGGTTTCTGAGACTGTAATGGGGAGTAAAGGGCCCGTGTTATCCAACCAGAGAACAGTCTCCACTTCCAGACAGCCCTAACCCAGAGAGAATCCTTGCTTTCCGGAAGCTTACCCCAAAATATCTAACCACTGCCCGGTCCTCTAACTCCTTTCTTTCTATCCCTCTCTGAGTAGCCCTAACCCTTAGGTACGGTCTCCCTGGCTGCAAAGAGCATTAAACCCAACTTGTTCATGTGTGTTCATGGTGGCCTTGGGCTGAAGGTCATTGACAGTGTGGTTTTCTTCTACTCCCTCTGGCAGGTGGCAGACTAATTTTAGGCCTAAGGAGGTAGGCAAGGCAATGTGTTTCTCTTTTTGGTTAAGGTTGGGATCGACTCGGCGGCTCCGTTAAAGAACAGAGCTAAGAAACCGGCGGAGTAGGTAGCTGTGGCGCGGGAATCAAGACGACAGCCAAGGTCTGCATTAAAAACAAGGATCATTTGATGAGAGAACAGATATATAGGTGTGATACAGTCAAATGTTAACACCTGCTGACTATTGGTGGAAGGTGTGAGCATAGGAGTGTAAATTATACCCATTTTTTTCTGTTCAAAAATTTTCATAATATAAAAAAAAAAAGCTTTCGAAAAGCCACCGAGGCGTTTGAAAAGCAGGATTCTCAAGCCGACCAGCCCTGACGACTCACGGATGAGACTGACCCTCCCCAAGAAGTCCTCCCCACCTGGAGGGTCGGCAGCGCACTTCCGGCTCGCCCGGCCTCAGTCCGTGCTTAGCTCACACTCCATCATCTGGTTTCCAAAACTCAGATTGCGCAGTGGTCACGTCATCACCGACCGGGGCTCCAGCACCCTAAACCTCCCCTCCAGCCTAAACGGCTGCCCCTCACCTCACCTGCCCGCGCCCGATCCCCTGGCCCCGCATCGCCTAACGCGTCTCATAATCCTCTCAGGCTCCGGGCGAGCGGCGCCGCCCACCACGGGCCCGATCATATAAGGAAAATATCGCAGGCTCATGTGGGGCTGGATCGGAGATCGGGAAGCGCCCCAACCCTACTCCCCCCGCTGCCTCCCACCTGGGCCACCCAACTCTACCCCACGCCGCTCAGGTGCCTCTCACCTCCAAAGCGGCCTGAGCCTCCGCGGGGGAGTCTGCGCAGACGCAGCCGAGGAACCCGCGGGCGAATCAGCCAATCCTGGCCCGGCCCGCGGACTTCCGGTCCCGCCTCTTTCTGTGTCTCTTCCGCTGCAATCTATCCTATCATTCTGTGACCTTACCGAACCACCGTGTAGAGCTGACCCTGTGGGTTTCTGAGGCTGTAAATCTTCAGGGGAGTAGAAAGCCTCGTCTTTCTCTCTCCAGAGGAACGGCTGGTGGTATCGGACCGCTGGTCTTCCTGTTAGCAGCCCACAGTGTACAACCCACTGTGCCACCAGGGTTCCTGCAAACTTCTCCCATGCTGTGCTCAGGCGGATAGGGTGGAGAAGAATCACTGCGCGAGTTATAGAGGGCAGGGCTAGGATGGATAAGGTCGTCCAACCGTTATCTTGATTTGGAAATAGAAATGTCTTTTAAAGTTTGATGTAAAGATCACTCAAGAATAACAATGAAATTGGGAGACATTAATAAACCTCCTTTACAAACAAATGAGCCACTTGTTTTTTCAGGTGTGTGTGTTTTTAACAGCTTTATTAGCACTTCACGTTATACAATTCAATAATTCATCATATGAAGGACAGCTGTGCAATTATCACCACATTCAACACTAGAACATTTTTCTTCCCTGTACTCATTGTTATTCATGTAAATTTTGTTCCTAATTGTGGCAAAAATACGCACAAGGAAACATTCGCCAATTCCACAACTCCTACATGTATACTTCAATGCCATTGATTATACTCGTGTGGTACAACCATTATTGGTAGCCTTTTCCAAACTATTCCACCACCATTAGCATAAACTTAATGCCCCTGGGCAAAAGACTAACTTCACGGGAGTAGAAAGCCCCATCTTTCTCCTGGGAGATTTGATAAGTTGTCTAAAATGGTGTGTTAATCTGGGTAGACTAGAGAAACAAAATTCATAGACACTCATTGAGATAGTTAAGGTTTATTGTGCCAACCTGGCCAATAAACACGTAGGGTTCATTGAAAGGTGGGGAAATAAATGGCTCAGTGAGCCTCTGGTTCTCGGGTCTCTTGCTTTGTGATGGTCAGACCAGGGTGGAGCTGCCTTAGCCAGTTCCCTGCTTCAGCTTGCAAGGCTCACTTCCTCACATCCCTGAGGAGAAGCAACATGGACCTACCCCTGTGCAGCCCTGGGTGCTGGCACAGCCGTGTAGAGACTCCTGCCAGCACTGAGATGCTTACACGCTCACTGATTCAGCTTTACTCCTGCAGTCGGCATCATTCTGTGTGTTTTGGGAGATGGAGGAGGACTTTGTGGGTTGGTGTCAGACATGTGGGCTAATGTTGGACTTGTGGGCTTGGGCAGCACTGGGTTAGGATGCCTTCTTGATGTGCACTTACCCTTTTATATAAAACTCTCTCTTATACTGAGTTCTCGTGGATTTGTTTCTCTAAAGTACCCAGACTAACACTGATATTTTATAACAGAGTTCTATATAAAGGGTAGGTGTACATTAAGAAGGCAATCCAATCCAGTGCTATCCAAGCCCATATGTCTGACACCAATCCACAATGTCCTTCTCAATTTCACAAAACACACACAACGAGGAAAGCCGAATCAGTGAGTGAGTAAGCATCTCAGCGCTGGCAGAGGTCTCACGTGGCTGCTCCAGCACCCAGGGCTGCATTAGGGTAGGTCCATGTGGCTTCTCCTCAGGGAGGTCTGGCCAGAAGTGAGCCTTGCCAGCTGAAGCAGAGAACTAGCTAAGGTAGCGCTCACTGATCGGACTGCCAGAAAACAAAAAGACCAGACAGGAGAGGCTTGCAGAGCCATTTATCTCTCTGCCCTTCCATTAATCCCACGTATGTATCTGCCAGGTTGGCACAATAAACCTTAACTATCCCAAATGGTAACTGCAAAAACCGATGATCTGATATGTAACCACTCAACGAATTCACAATGAAGAAAAAAAATAGGTGAGGAAAGAACATGTTGGTAAAGACTTGCTCTTTCACCGCTGCCCGTCGGGGATCGCACTGGGTGCAGCGGCCGAGCAGGACCTGGGCGCGGGCGGGGCGGGGAATTGGGTGAAAGGTCGGGGGCGTGGCTTGAAGGCCCCGCCCCCCGCGCTCTGAAAGCCGGGGCGGCGGTGGGCGGTTCCTCTGCAACCCCCTGGTCTCCCCTTGAGCTGAGAGCGTCCCTCCGCAGCCCGGGACAAGCCACCGCCATGGCCCTGCTCCGAGGTGAGTGTCGAGGCGAAGGCCGGGCGCCGCGGCACCCCCTCGCCTGGGGAGCAGCCCCTCGCCTGCCCGGGCGTATCCTCCCCCGGCCAGGCCTCCACTTCCGCTTCCGGCCGAGGGACCCGGAGGTCGCAGCCCGTGGGGTGGCCGTTGAAGGTCCCCGGCGCTGACGGGGGCAGTGATCTCGGTGAAATTTCCCGTAGCGCGTCGAGCCCATGGCTTCCTCGCCTCTGACCTCGAACCTCGTCGCGCTTCTCCGAGAAGCAGTGGCCCCTCAAGTGCAAGCGCAGCGAAAAGGAAAACTGGGTCCAGGTCGGAAGCACAGGCCGCCTGCGGGATGATGACCAGGGTAGACCCCCTGGCTGTAGGGAGGAATGTGGTATTCGAGGGGTCGCCCATCACTTTCTGCCCGAAAGACCGCGCCCCCAAAAGGCGGGGGAGCCTTCTGTTTGAGCCCCTGCTCGGTTCCTCTTTCCGAAACGAACAGGTCGCTGGAGGAAAGGGTATCTAGCTATAGCTTCAAAGAACTGTGTTAACTCTGGTATGACAGCTGGTCACAGTCAAGGCAGCTTTAATCTAGAAGCCCTGAAAGCCCCCAGGTACCCGCCGGAGACAGTTCTAAGTAAAGGAACACATTTCGATCAAGCTCCGTGGAGCCAGGAAGAGCCCACTATTCAGGGTCTCCCCTTGGTCCCTAAGGGTGGGCTTTTCAGTGGGAGGACTAGCAGGTTCTAAAGCAGAGGCATGACAAGATGTGATCCACACAGTGTGAGGGCTGGGGGCTGCCCCTACAACAATGAGGGGAAAATCCGCCCCCACCCCCCACCCCCATGTGAGAAGAGGTGCCGAAGTGCAGGCAGCACAGATGATCGCTCTGATTAGTTGGGACAATGCAGTTGAGGGGGAGAGGGAAGGGGCGATATTTGATACGCTGGAGCGAGAATCGGTCCAAATTTGGTAATAGAATTTGATAAGGCAGGCTGCTGAGGGAAAAAAATGAGGAATAATTTCCGGTTGCTGGCTTGAGGAACTGTTCACAGGGGTGCTTAGGAGTGAAGAAAAGGGATGACTGGACTTCTACGTTGGTGCTATATTCACAAGTCTCTTTGTTGCTGCTGCTGAGACTCTGCCCAGTAAATCGTACACCAATTCAGCATCTTTGCAAGTTCTGAGTGCAGGGCCATTTGGAGCAGAGCGCAGATTTCTAGCTGCATGACCACCAAGCATTTATTACTGAAAGAATCAACAGGACCGGACATATACAGCACCAGCCTACGTTTGGCTCCTGGCCACAAGGGGATGGGTGTCCAGAAAGGTAGAATGGCGAATCTATAAGACTACAGGGAGGTAGTGGCTAGGACCAGAACCCCAGCCCTGGTCTTCAGATGGTGATTGTTGTAGGTTGGTTAGAATGCAATATCAAATCAAAACCAAAACCCACTGCCGTCAGAGGAAACCAGCCTCTAACAACCACAGGGTCCATAGGCACAATTGTACAGCGATAACATATAAAGATCAAAGTAAAGTTGTAGAGGATAGGAGAGAGTACAATAAAGGAGTCAGACACATTTCATGGTAGCATGCGCACCCCAGCCCCTCTTGATGGTCCACGTGGAGATGGGAGAAGAGAAAGAAAGTCTTTATGATCTTGAGATATTTAAAGGTAGCCAGAGACATGCAGATTCAGTAGTCACATGTGCCACAAGGTGGGTGGTAACTACAGTAAGGTCCCTTGGCTCACAGGTGAGGATACCTAATACCTGCATTGGAGAAAGGTATGAAGGGGACTGGGTGCCGCGGCAGGAGGCAATAACAAAAGAATGTCTGCTTCTATAGTGAGATATAAGCAACCATGTGCTCACGTTAAGGCAGCATAGCTGTTAGGGGAGAATCTGTGGGAATGATCTTTAAAGCAGGATAATGTACTTGGACTTTATCTCTAACTAAAGTGGTGGCTCTCCCATGGAATACTAGCTTTCCAGACTCCCTCTGTTATAAGTTAGGGAGATACAGGCCTAGTCACATTTCCCTCGGTGTTTCCCACACTGCTAATCAGAGCAACCCTTGCTAGCATTTCTGAGGCTGCACAACTTTAAGGGAGCAGACAGCAGACAGTGGCTTGTAGGTTTGAACTGCCGACATAGTCAGCAGCCCAACACCTAACCCACAGAACGCAGAATAGAGACATGCCTTTCTCAGCTTACCAAGTGCTTATAGGGAAAACAAAACAAACTCACTCATGAATCAAGCCTATTCTGATCCACGGTGACCCTAAACATCAGGGTAGAACTGCCTTTGTGGGTTTCCAAGACTGTAACTCTTTAAGAGTAGAAAGCCTCCTCTTTCTCCCACAGAGCAGCTGGTGGATTCAAACTGCCAACCTCTGGTTAGCAGCCCAAAGTGTAAGCAGCCCAAAGTGTAAGCAGGATACCACCAGGGCCCCCAGTGCTTATAGGACTGATAGATAAGAGAAGAACATGTGGGTAGTGATTGCAGAGGAAAGACACATTTGACCAGGAGCATATAGGAATGGTGGTCAAGATGCTTACTAACTTATGTACCGTAGCCATCAGGAAGAACCAATCATTACCAACTGTCAATTTAAAACCAAACAGCAGGGAAAGGAACTTCTTGGAAACAGGGCAGCCAGATCAAAAATAATGAGTGTCCTCACATTGGGAAGAGAGGCATCAATGTCCCGGAGCAACCAGTGCCTAACACGTCGGCTGGGTCACTAAGGACACTAAATCGCTCACTGAGTGAATCGCCTGAAGGCCTTTGGGATTATCAGGCGTGCTTACCTATTTCCTGAAGGTGGGCAGGGCTGCCAAAAGGCCTTTTATCTTGAAACCAAATGGATGCAGCAACAGAGATTTGTCTTGTTGCTTGCTGCCTAAGTGAGGAACTATTGACCTAGCTAATAATATGAGGAGGAGCCCGCCCAGGTGGTGCCCTGGTAAAGCGCTTGGCTGCTCACCAGGACGTTGATGGTTGAAACCCACTGGCTGGCCACTTCGTGGGAGAAACAGGAGACAGCCTGTCCGCTCCCTTAAAGAGTCACCCTTGGAAACGCCGCGGGCACTTCCTAGCTGGGCACTGAGTTGAGAGAACTTGGCAGCCATGGGACACTAATGTGATGGAGAGGAAGGCAGCATCGCTTCCTTTCTCGTCCACGGTGGTATTTCCACCTGGACTGTGTAATCAGCCCATCTGGCCAGGGCCCTTCTTGGTCCTCCCCCCTTCCTACCCACTATACAAACAAGAGCAAGCTTGGAAAAGCGCATGGGGAAATTCCATTGTCTTTTCATTCCATTGCCCACAAACTTTTTGAAGCCTCCTTGGATGTTAGTTTTACCTTGCAGATTTGTTTAGATTAGGTACTAGAGGAAAAGTGAGCCAGTGTCCAGCACTTAGTAGGTTGTGAGGTAGCAGCCCCCACAACCGAATATATCCAAGGGGCGGTTGTGTAATTGAGGGGTCAAATTAAAGGAACGTCAGACAAGATAAAGCAGGCTCACCTTCGTAGTCATGACTTCAGAGCCAGATCCGTGTAGAAAGAGAATATATTTCCAACAGAGGCTTAAATACTCTAGGGGGCGTGCAAGCCCCCCCTCATTACAGGTAGCCACGTACAATACAAAGTGGGCTGTACCCTAACCCTAAAGGTCCCTGAGTTGATTGGAAGAGTAACCTAACACCAGTGCTGGGGAGAGGGGGGCTGAGGGCGGGGCAGAATGGGAAGAGGTGGGCAGTGCAGGTAAGGGGACTAGGCTGTCCTCAGAGCCTAGAGAGCAGTAGCACATCTGCCTCTATAGCCCCTGTCAGACAGTACCACCGCCTCAGCATGACGTCTTAATGAAAGTGGGTTGCCACATCTTCCCCAGCAGCGCAGCTGGTTAGTAACCGAGTGATTTAACCACTGTTCTATCTGGACACCATAATGCATGTCTGACATGGCATGCATCTGGATAGAACTAGAATTGGTAGATTAAAGACTTCATTAGTAAGCCCAGTCCGGTCAATGTGAGGAAAACCCATTCATTTATAGGGTGGGTACCCAAACTGATTGGCCTACCTTTTCAGAAAAAAAATTACTCACTTCCCCCTGGCAGTGAAAAAAGTTTGTACTAGATAGCCCATAAGCCTAGGTAGAGCACAGGCATCCACTTTTACAAGTGTACACACCACACACCCACAAAGGTTCTAGTGCTCCCCAGAAGCAGTATGACCCACTTAGGGAAACACTGATTTGTACTGTCCGTTCTCGGACAGGCTGCTTCACACAGTGGCGTGTGCCCTCTTCCGGGAGGTTTCTACAGAGGTTGGAGAGAACTCTTGCTGGGAGTTTTCCAGAGGGGCTTCCAATAGGGTTTGATCGCAGATGACGCTAATTGGCCGTTTTTTTTTGGAAAGTCTTGAATTCTGCGACCGGGCCATGTGCTCTAGCACCCAGAACAGAAACCCTGCCATTGTAAACAAATGTCCCTAGCACATCACCGGGGGACAACAGTGTGGTCCACCCCGAACGGATTTCCATCCTAGACAGCAGTGCACCAGCTGGTGCCTGCACATGGCTTCTCTGGGCAAAGAGTTCCAGTACCTCCCTGAATAGTCCACTTGGGCGACGAGGTTTCCTAGTGGGATGATGGGCAGCATGGACTCCGATGGCGCGCCCTTCTCTCCTCATCGCCACAGGTGTGTTCATCGTGGCGGCTAAGCGCACGGCCTTCGGGGCTTACGGAGGTCTCCTGAAGGACTTCACAGCGACGGACTTGACGGAGTTTGCTGCCAAGGCCGCCTTGTCCGCTGGCAACATCCCGCCTGAAACCGTTGACAGCGTCATCGTCGGCAATGTCATGCAGGTTAGCAGGGCAGAAGGGAGGCATTTGTCGACCTTCTAAAAACAGCTCCTCTGACATGTCGCAATAGCGACTGGGCTACTAAGAGTTCAGGGTATTTGAAATTTGCCATTGGAGCCTGCCTCTGACCCCCGAGCAGTGGTACCCATCTTTCGAGAGAAAGGGATGTGCTCTGGGCTTGTCAGGTCTGTGTGCTTCAGGATGCGTTCCAGTATCTGTGGTGCCAGATGGACTTGTTTGACAGTGAATTTGTCTTCTCTGATTATCGGAGGGAGGCTTCCATGAGCTAGTGGGGAAATGGAATTAACCAGAGAATAGAATTTTTCCTACGGACTATTTAAAGCCCCCTCATATGCCACTAAAGGAGGGTAGCAAGCCCAAACAATACAACGCATATCTCAGCACTTCTTACCCGGGTAGGAGGTTGGTCCGTGTCGGTGGTGGGAAATCAGATGATCCCCTGCCCTCTATTCTGTTCTGCATGGTGCTACATAAAATAAGGCGTCTGTGTGTCCAGCCAAAAAAACCCCACTGCCATCAAGTTCATTCCCACTCAGTGATGCTAGAGGACAGAGGAGAACCCCTAAGGTTGTCCAGGCTGTGAATCTCGATGGGAGCAGACAGTTTGACCTTTCTCCCACGCTCCTATGCTCATAACTGAAAATGACATGTTCGACAGCCTTTATTTGGTGCCTGACGAGAGGTTATCTGAGAAGTCTTTCACTAGCCCAAAGGGGTCAATAAGCAGTCACAGTCTAACGAAGGAAAGATGCGTGTGCGAGATAATGTGTTTGTTGCCCAAGGAAAGAGAGTTTTGTTGAAAGCCTGTTTCAAGGTGATTCGGTCCCTCCTGCTACCCTGTTGCGCTTTAGGTGTAAGAGCAAGCACAGCTCTTAGACCTAAAGTAATGTAGCCTGCAACATTGCTGGGCTCCCTTGGTTTTTCTCGGAGTGTTTGCATGATTCCTCGGGGTTTTCTATGCCTGTGATCATCTAAGCTCACGATTGCTTTCCTTTCTAATCCGGATGCCTTGTATTTATTTTTCTCTTGCCCCCTTGCTGTGGCTACAAATAGCCAGAAAAAATGTCCTGTCTTCCTCCTGACGGCTTACGTTGAAGTGTGATGTTAGCTCTGGGGTTTTGTTGATGTTCTTTGTCAGGTTTGAAAGGTTCTTTTTATCTCTGGTTTGTCGAGTGTTTTTATTATAGGATTTTATTACATGCCTTTTCTGCATCTATTGAGATGATCATATGAGTTTCATTTTTTTTTTCTTCTGTTGGTATGATGGATTATATTCATTGATTTGGCAGTGGTAAACCATCCTTGCATTTCGGGGGTAAATCCCACTTGATCTTAGTGTATAGTCCTTTCTCTGTGTTGCTGGATTTCTGGTGTGTTTTAACTACATTTTTGGTTGTGTTTCAACTTTTTTCCTGTGCATTGGGTTTGAATAGGAAATCTGTTTTTTAGTCAACTGTTCATACCCATGCTTCCTGTTATTGATTGCAATCCCCACAGTGTAGCATCACGTTTACCACTTCTTCCCTGTGTTTCCTGTGTCCATTCTTGGCCCCTTCCTACCCCTTCCTGCCTTCTGAACTTTGTCCTTGGACAAATGGCACCTCATGGATCTTAGATGGTTGCTTATTCCGAGGAGGGTGGGCCTCTCTAATGTTACTGCCCCCTTAGGTATCTCCCTGTTGTTTGGGTGAATACTGAGCCACAGGAGTGAGTTCCTTTCCAAACCAGAAGAGTAACTAAAGACCAGAGTCTTGCCAGGGTGGGCCCTGGTCCCACCAGTCTCTGCCAGTTCTTTTCCATGATTTTGAGTTTTAATGTGTTATAGTTTGCTATCCGGGACCTCCTATTGTGATCCCCTGACCCCTGCTAGTCCTTCTGCTCCCGGGAAGGTGGAGACTGAAGTTAGTGTGGTCCCCCCATCTTTATTTCCTTCACTCTTCTTTCATGGGATGGAGACAGACCAGGAATGCCTTAGGGGCCTCTTGCAAGCTTTTAAAGCTCCAGTTGCTACTCTTGGCAGTAAATTGTAGACCATTATTTTGCCAATTGACCTTGATGTCCCCTGGGACTGGGGCCTAAGCTCTGGCCCAGTGACTCACTCCTTCCACGTGTTTGGTTACGACTGTGCTGTTTACATACCTTTGCCCTCTGCTCTGGTATAAACACGGATATTTTTACAGCACGTACACGTATGTTTATAGAAAGGCCGTCTGCCAAGCCTATGTGAGTGTAGCCTCTTTTACCTGTTCATCCTGCCAGCCTGCCTGAGTGTCCGTAATATGCACTTATTATCTAGTGAGTGATTTTCAATTTGCTAGTGTTATCGACACTCCGCATCTATGTTCTTACATAAGATCTTGCCCTCTGGCTTTCCTTTTGGGGTGTGTATTGTCTGATTTCAATATCAGAGTAACACTAGCCTCATGAAATGAGTTGAGAAGTAGTCCTTCTATTTTGGGGGAGGGTTTGTGAAGACTCTGTACTAATTATTCTTTAACGATTTGGTAGAATTTAGCAATGACGCCACCTAGACCCCCATTTCCCTTTGTGGGTGGCTTTCTTTGTTTCCAATTAAAATGTGGTAAGATAGATATGACAAAAAATTTCGTTTTAGTGATTTTTAAATGTACAATTCAGCATGCCTAATTACATTCAGTTAATTACATTCACCATGTTACACAGCCATCATTACTATCTATTTTCAAAAGTTTTTTCCCTCCTCAAACAGGAACTCGGTACCTGTGGAGATTTATAGATCGTCTATTCTATTTTTAAACAGCTCTACTTGTTAAGAACTGTCTGCCTCATAGTGAAGACGTGTTATAAGAATTTCTTCAAATAGCAAGCATACTTTGTGTTTTTAAATCAGTGCACTAAATTACAGGTTTTATTCAAATTGTAAAGACTTATATAACATTTTTTCCTGAAAGCTATATATTTACATTGTTTTCTCAAAACAACCTTATTACCTTCTAAGTACTCTCCATTACATTTTATACATTTGTCAAATCTGCGTTTCCATTCTTGGAAACATTTTCCAAACTCATCTGTTTGGATGGTTGACAGCACCTCCCTCGTTTTTTCCTTCACCTCTTCTACATCGTCAAATTGCTGTCCTTTCATGTCCCTCTTCATTCAAAGAAACAAAAAGAACTCACTGAGTGAGGTCAGGTGAGTAAGGTGCAAGAGAAACATGCTGTTTTTTGCCCAAAACTGGAGCACTGAGATGGCTGTGTGAGCAGGTGCATTGTCGTGGTGGCAAAACCAGTCCCCTTGTCTGCCACAAGTCAGGCCTTTTTGGTCATATGCTGTTAGGCAATCTTTTCAGAACCTCTAAATAGAAAGCTTGATTAACAGCCTGACCTAGTAGAACAAACTCCAAATGTACTGTGAGCCAACATTTTTGTCTGTTCAGGAAGTTGACAGACATCCAGAATGAGGTTTATCATCAATCAACATTTTACCTTTTTTGAAATGAGAAAACCACTTATACACTTGAGTTTGTTGTCCTTGTAAGTTGTTGAGATAGTTTATTGTGCCAGCCTGGCCGATAAACACAAGTGGGA